CAGCATTCTGAACCTGGAAAAAAAAATCTTTTAACATTTAATGAACCATGTGCAGTCATGCTCATAACCCTACAGTCAGGATAAGAAGCACTGTGTGCGAATCCCAGAAAAAAATCCCCAGGCTTCAGAACAGTTCTTTTTTAGCAGTTAGGATGAAGTGAAAACAGCTCCCTTTCTTAAATGTTTGCCATTAAGATATATTCTTGCTCTTCTGGCACTGTCAGCTTTCTTGACATGATTTGAAAGAGCTTTGACTGAAGTAATTTTAGCAACCTATTTCATGCACTTCACATTAGCTTCACAGAAACATCTGCAGGGATATTTTGTCATCTGTTAAAGTGCTCATTTCTTGCTTCCACAGAACCTCTCATTTCTACTAGATTTGTTTGCCATTTCAGGGCAAAAAAACCCAGGATATTGTCCCATAAAAATGTTCACATGCTGAATTAGTGAAGCTGTAGTCGCAGAAAAAATGCACAGCTTTGTGAGATGAATTTACAGAAGCGAATGTAAATCCTGATTTAAAATACCAAATGGGTTACTATATACAGTAAATGTTTTAAAAGAATCTCATGGCACCTGAATAACTTTCCTTTCTAAAGAAAAGTAGGTGCAGGTGTACTTTGGGGAATGTCTTCTGTTTGTAATTTTGAAAACATGTTATCGCTGCTTTCACAATGCAATTGGGAGGCTGTCCATTCATAAAATGGCTACAGTGAGGGATGTAACTAGCCACAAAGCACCAATATACAGAATGTTCTTGGTCATACTCTCTAACCTGTCTTCGAAATGCTTCTTGCTATCCCTGCTTAACTTTTGCAATAGATCAGCATACTTTTAAACAAACTCTAGATTAATTATCTATTTTTTTAAAAAAATCTAAGAAGTGCATGGGCTCAGTTGGGTCTCAGAAGCATTCCTAGAAGTAAAAAAAAGAAATGATTCTGGAAGCAAGTGCGCCGCTAGGAAGCTTTCTAGATTTGTTTTCTTCTTCAAAGAAAAAGTATATTGTTAGTATACTTTTCAGAAAACAATTGCTTAAATATAAATATAAAAATCAGTTGTGTTGAGGAGAGTAATCAGATACATGAATATGCTATTTTTTAACTTGTTGATATAGATGTAAACAACAGCCAACTCTAACCAACTCTTAGCATTTGATCTAATAAAAAATCCACGATAATAAATTTTAAAAAGCATATATGTGTCCAGGAAAAAAAAAATCATACAAAATACAGGTAGTCCTTGACTTACAATCACAATTGAGCCCAAAATATATGTTGCTAAGTGAGACAGTTGTTAAGTGAATTTTGCCCATTTTACAATTTTTTTGCCACAGTTATTAAATAAATCACCACAGTTGTTAAGTTAGAAAAATGGTTGTTAAGTGAATCTGGCTTCTCCATTGACTTTACATGTCAAAAAGTCGCAAAAAGTAATCACATGATCCCGGGACATGGCAGCCATCATAAATATGAGTCAGTTTCCAAGAGTCTGAATTTTGATCATAAGTGGGTCAGGGCATTTTTCAGTGCCATTGTAACTTCAAATGATCAGTAAATGAACTGTTGCATGGGTGAAATGCTCCCGGTTCGGACCGGATCACCCGATCCGGTAGCGATAGCAGCGGGTGGTTTGGAGAACCGGTAGCAAAAATCCCTGCCCCCCCTCCATGCCCAGCTGAGCCGTGCGATCATCAGAGGCTTTTTTTTTTTAATTTTAAAAGCATTTTTTCTATAATCTCTTCGGCCGAAAAAATGCTTTTAAAAGTAAAAAAAAAAGCCTCTGATGATCGTGCAGGTCAGCTGGGATCGTCAGAGGCTTTTAAAAGCATTTTTTCTGCAACCTCTTCGGCCGAAGAGGTTGTAGAAAAAAAAAAGGCCTTTAAAAGCCTCTGGCGATCCCAGCTGAGTTGCCTGATCGTCAGAGGCTTCTAAAAGCATTTTTTTCTGCAACCTCTTCAGGTTGTAGAAAAAATGCTTTTAAAAGCTAAAAAAAAAAAATTGGCCACGCCCACCCAGTCACATTACCCCCATCACCACCAAGCCACGCCCACAGAACCGGTAGTAACAAATTTTAGATTTCACCCCTGAACTGTTGTAATTTGAGGACTATGTGTAGAACAAAACCAGATTTCCCAACCATTCTGTCCCAAGGCCTGGGAGAATTGCTGAGCTTTTCAGTGCCTTTTGGAACGCCATCAGGGTGGTAGCCATACAGATTTCTAGGGAAATACTCTTCCAGGGAGTAGGCACTACAACAGTTTATCTCACCTACTGTTTCATTTGGATGTTTCTCAGGAAGGGTGAAGCTGCCTGAATCTAATCTTTTCCTCGTCAACAGTGATTGAAACAGACCATAGAGAAAGGAGGAGAATCACCATAATATGGTGCCTTCCACTCCCAAACTCTGCTGAAAACGATACCATTATTGACACTGTCACAATTTAAAACAACTAGTCCCTTTTAATAATTCAAACAATACAGCCAAAAGATGAACAGAGGTAGATGCAATCATTTCATATTGACTCATCAGTACCTACATTACAATAACATGGTTAAAATCAGCCTCAGATATAAGATCTAGCAAGAGCATTAATTAAGCATATAATGTATGCAGGAAAGCAACCAATGGCAAGCCTTACACCCACCTACACACAGGTGTAGATTGACATAAAACCATTTCTGCACGCACAACGTGGGCTTCAAACGCTTAACCGCCTCAGCAAAACGCAGGAAACAAGAGTTCCTGGGGCACAGTAGAACTTTAAATGCAGAGTTTTGATCCACCTAGTGACCCGTAGATAGTGTCTCTCGATGGCCGAAGAAGGCATTTTATGGCCATGATTTGCTGTTGTTGTTGGATTACTCAAGGCTGTTTGGACCCATTTCATTTTTTCCCCATGTTTTATTTATTTTATTTATAATACTTTTCATCTCCATTGAACATTGCGGCCTAGCCTAAATGGCTCTTAATTGGGATTTTAAATTTTATGGACTTGGGGGCTTTAAATTGGGAAGCCAATGATTTAATTCTTTTTAATTATCTTAACTTTTGTATTTGTATGTTTTTAATTTTGGCTGTTCACCGCCCTGAGTCCCTTCTGGGAGAAGGGCGGTATACAAATTAAATAAATAAATAAATAAATAAATAAATAAATAAATAAACAAACAAACAAACAAACTGGGTATAATTCTTTAAAAATGCATAGTTCGCATATTTGTTTGGAAACATTTCAGAAGATGCTCCTTTATTCTGAAAGCCAAACACCCATCAGTTCTGCCGATGTAATCATCTCCACAATTACAAATTGGTAAACACAATGAGTTTTGGTGCTGATAGGTTGTGTTTCCTTAATTAGGGGCAGCCGTAGCCTCTGGGTTTCATGTAATATATGAAGCTCAGCCATACTGAATGTTGCTTCAGTTAAGGTGTTTTATCACAAGTGGCTGAGAGGTCAAGGAGCACAAGGATGAATGCACCATCCTGTTAATGACCATGAAAAATCATTAACAAGCATGACAATGTTGTTTTTGTACTATGAAATCTTACTGGAAAGGGTCCATATAATCCATTTCCTCCATGATATTTTGGAACCTACCTCCTTAAAACCTTCCTTCTTGGAGACTACAAAGAAATTGTCCGGGATTATTGAGTCCAGCAATGGTTTTTTTAAGGAGGGTCAAAGGAACCACCCACTTTCTGGGAAAAGCTGGATGAATCACTCCCAAACAGCTTTAAATACCCAGGAAAGGTTTGGATCTAAGAAACAGGTGACTGGGTTCACAGTTTGAAGGAACCTGTCCACTTCATCTGGAGCTACAGACTGAAGCCCAACACAGGGAAACCCACAAGCAGCTCAACTACACTTGCCTAGTTGGAGTCCAACTCTCAGCAAATCTAAATGATTTATCTCTGAGATCACTAAAATATTCTTCCAGCAGCCCAGGTAGATGTTCCTGTGACTCATCCCTACTCAGCAAAGAATGAGCGATCCAGATCAGGGTCATTGGATATCTATCTATGGATGCATAAAGGTAGTGAAATGACATTTTGCCACCATTACCGTCACATTATTACCCCAAATATGGGCTCTTGATCAGGTTTGGTCAAATTTTCTCTTCCTCTAATGATGCTCCAGGCATCTCGTCTGGTGCTTCATTTCCCAGAGCTGTTTATAAAACTAAAACTAGGATCAGTGCACAGAGAGACGCTGTATAGAGACAATGCAATCTAAGGCTTCATTCGCAGCCCATTCCATTCTGTGACCAAGGCTTCAACTGAACATCTATGTTATCCTCAGGGAAATATTCTAATAGGCCCTAAACCATTTTATATTCCTTTCAGTTTGGATGCTCATCCCATATGCTTGCCCATTCCCCTGGGGTGGGGGGGACACCAGGTTTCCAGAAATTTAGAGAAGATGAGCAAAGTCAGGGTCATCTATGTAAACCCTGTACATTTTGCCTGGAAACTTACAGAGTCCTGCAACTTGCAAGGTGGTATCACATGGTGTTATATTTAGAACATAGACACATAGGACTAGAAGAGATCTCCGAGGTCTTCCAGTCCAAGACCCTGCTTGAGGCAGGAGCCTTATACCATTCCAGTCAAATGATTGTCCAGTCTATTTTTGAAAACCTCCAGCACCCACGACTCCTGGAGGCAAGCCAGTGGTGAAATCCATTTTTTTTTTACTGTAGGTTTTGTGGGTGTGTCTTGGTGGGCATAGCAAGGGAAGGATACCGCAAAATCCCCATTCCCTCCCCACTCCAGGGTAAGGATACTACAAAATCCCCATTCCCACCCCACTCTGGGGCCAGCCAGAGGTGGTATTTGCCGGTTCTCCGAACTGCTCAAAATTTCTGCTACCAGTTCTCCAGAACCTGTCAGAACCTGTTGGGATTTCACCCCTGAGGCAAGCTATTCAATTAATTAATTACTCTCACTGTGTGTACCTGCCAAGTCCACAATTCATATTCAGTGTTTTTAAATTGCAGCACCTTATGAAATATGTCCGGAGGATTATTTGATATCAATGGTTTGGAAAAGGACGCCAGCAGGGGATATGGCATTTAATCGATGCCCTCTTAATGCTACAGGTATTGTTACTAGTTCTTTTTTTTTTTGTAAATCCAATCTGTATTATTATAAATCAGAAAACATATTTCCCCTTTATAATTTTATACCGTTACAGTATTCTTTAAACTGAACTCTTCCGATCCTAAATAATGTATACATTACTTTTTAAAATCTATATGTTTCCCACCTAGCCTCCCTGTAGTTCCTGTAGTAAGCAATTACTGAATTATTCTTCAACTAGTTCACTGGAAATAAGGCATGCTCAACATAAAATTCAATAAAATTCATAATATTACTGTATTTTACACTGATCCAGTATTGTTGAGCTGTTTTTCCTAAGGAAAAGCTAATGCTTCCTATTATAATGTAATATTTGTGTGTGCATGCTCTGAACAAGTATACAGAATTCCTCTGAATGGGCTTCTTTTGTTGATTTTGACTTGTGTTTCCATTGCACTTTTCCCCCTCTCCCCTTGTTCCTCCTTCTCCTTGTTCTTTATGACTCACAGGTACCACTAGCAGGCGCTGCTCTCTCAGCCTTCACGGAGTGGCCTTCTGGGAACAGCCGAGCTTTGCTAGATGCATATCAAATGAGTACAAACACTTGCAGCATTCAGTAGGTGCAAAGCCAGCTTTAGTACTTGCTCTATTTATTCATTGCTAAACAACAGCATTAAGGGAATAAACTGTTTTGCTATTCAGTCAGATCATCGGATACTAAAGAAAAATAAACATTGCTAGAGGTGGGGGGAATATGAATGCCATTTGTTTTCATCTTTTATTTTATTATTTTATTCCATTTTATTTATTTATTTTACTTTCTCAGAGTTCATGTAATTATAAAATAATGCATGGTTTCTAGCCTTTCTATTCTTTCTCTTATAAAATGTTTATAGGTAGTGGAAGCAACAAACTTTTTTAGGTTTACTGGGAATCCTGATTGTGAATATATTAAATTTCCTGAAGCTACAGAACATTTTATAACTCATTCAGCACTTTAATGGTACGCCATAAATCAGTGGCAGGGATACATTTTTTTCTCAGTTCTACTTCAGCTGAGAACAAGCACGACGGCTAACCAAAGAAAAATGATAGAAATGCAGATTGCTTTTGAAAAGTGAACCAAAGATCTTTCTTTTCCAGATAGTATGAACATAAGGAAGTTCATTTGCTTCCATTCTAAATATTGTTTAACTTGCAATGATATTATTATTATTATTATTATTATTATTATTATTATTATTATTATTATTTAATTATTTAATTAAACATGAAACTCAGTCAACTGAACATTTAAAAACGTATCACAAATATCATTGACTGGCACTGATGGTTGATATGGGTTGCTGCCAGCATCCTAGGTATTAAGTATCTTCAATTATTATTATCTCTTTTATTCATTAAACATGAAACTCAGTCAACTGAACATTTAAAAATGTATCACAAATACCACTGACAGGCACTAATGGTTGATACGGGTTGCTGCCAGCATCCTAGGCATCAACCAAGTACATTATTATTATTATTTACTTTATTCATTAAACATGAAATTCAGTCAACTGAACATTAAAAATGCATCACAAAAACCATTGACTGGCGCTAATGGTTGATACGGGTTGCTGCCAGCATCCTAGTTATCCACCAAATATTATCATCATCATCATCATCATCATCATCATCATCATCATCACCATCACCATCACCATCATCATCTACACAATTTATAGGCTGCTCCAATCAACTGACTCTGAGTGGCTCCCCAAATTCGTTCTCGGGATTAAAACAAATAATCTTAATAGTACTTATTAGGGCAAAAACAACCAGTCCTAAGGTGCTTTTGTTTCTATATAATTTAGATTGCATAGGAGTACATAGCTTTCTATAAATGCATATCAAGCACATACCAGTTAGAAATGCTATTCCTGCTGTTGCCCTATTCCTCCTCCTCTGTGGCCAGTGGAAGAGCATGCACACATCTCCTTGGGAACTTCAAAGTAGACCTGCTGTTCTTCCTCACTTCTTCCCCAATCAGAGGAAGTGTGACCTAGAAAGAAGCAGTGTCATTCTTCCTTCTGAGCAGCTCAGAGGTGCTATTCAGCAGGTTCTGGCAGGTTCTGGAGAACTGGTAGCAGAAATTTTGCGTCGTCTGGAGAACTGGCAAATACCACCTCTGGCTGGCCCCAGAGTGGGATGGGAATGGAGATTTTGCAATATCCTTCCCCCAGGAGTGAGGAGGGAATGGGGATTTTGTGGTATCCTTCCCCTAGAGCGGGGTGGGAATGGAGATTTTACAGTATCCTTCCCCTGCCATGCCCACCAAGCCACGCCCACGAAGCCATGCCATACTCACCAAGCCATGCCCACAGAACCGATAGTAAAAATAATTGAATTCCACCACTGGAGCAGCTGCCACTGATGGAGCTCATACTGAACCTAACAACTCATTGTGAATACAATAACCTTCAGCTGTGAATTTTCTCTTTTCATATACTTGTTTTTTAGGGGTGGGGGAAGATGAAAACAAAAGTACAATAGAGATTATCCTCATTTAATGATTGCCTCATCAGGCAACCGTTTGCACTTACAGCAGTAATTATTAAGTAACTTTGTAACTAATTCTCATATTTATAACTTTCAAAGGTTTTGTAAAGCAAAATAAGCTGAAGTAAGATAAATAACCACAGTTGTGGTTTTCACTTAGCAACCACTTTGCTTGACAGTGGAGTTGCTGTGAGGAGCCCTGATTGTGGTCACTAAATGAGAACCGCCTGTATCAATTTTTCCAAATAATCTTAAAGTGTTATTTAAATTAATAGAATTGTATATAAATATACCAACTTACTATTCTTAAAAAAAATAAAATAAAATTCAAAAATGCATTAAAATATAAAAAAATAGTATTGATTACAAAATTCCAATTATCAATTTGTTAGAAATCCTCTCCCATGCTATATATATAAAGAATCAGTTTGACATATGTGCATAATCTAGTATGAAAAGTCAGGCATAGATTTGACTTTCCAATGTTGTCTAACAATTCTCTTGGTTCCCTTTCCCCTTTCCAACTTAATTCATATAACACAACTTCTGGTGCCATTTCTACATTCCATGAAGTCTAGAAGAATATATACATGCTCGGTGGACATTAATTGTTGTCTTGAAAGAAAAAATATTGTTTTGTTTGTCTTAAAAGCATTACTTTTTCTGCATTTCAGTTAATTCAATTCCATTGTTTCTATTGTTCGATATAGTAGCAAGCACAATCTTGCAATTAAAGTATTGTAGGTGATGTATGAGAAAATACACATAAAGATATACATGCTGATCATTTGACCACATTCAAGTGTCTTTGGCAAAGAAAATACTGATTGCACAAACAATATGCTCAAAGAAGCTTTCTCTAAGAAGGAAATGAGGAACATATTCATCAGTGTTCTGTCAATTCAGTAACTGATTCATCTATATGTGATGAGCAGCTGGCATCAAGCACTTAGACCAGCACTCAAAATGTTATACTTTCCTGTCCCTGTTTGGTCATTCAGAAGGTATTGCAAGGCAATTATGGGGTGATTCTCTCTTTGTGTGCATACATGCATACACTCACGTGCACATACACACATGCATATGCATGAATGCTAAAATCACATCCTTAGATACAGGTTTTATTTGCATCTCCTGATAGAAGCTCTGACAAAAGTTGTTGTTGTTGTTCTTTGATCTTTTAAAACAAGAACACAAATCTTATTAGGTGTTTGAGGAATGATTTTTCTTTCTTAAACTAGGCTATAGTGATTGATTCACTGTATTGTTCTTGATTTTGCCCCTCCCATCAGCATTACAATCTTGTTCTCTTGAACTACATTCCTGTTACCTCCAAATGAAGGGATGGTCCTTTTAAATGAGCCCATGGCACACTCCCAACTTAATGAGCAGTCATTTCTTAAATGGAAAAGTTACAGTGGAACCCAACTATTCTGTCACATCAGATATGAAATGAAATGTACCTGTGAACTCTAAAAATGGATTAGATTACACATTTCTGGGTCATAAAAAGCTAATCTCTGAAAAGCATTTCCCATTCTAATATGTTGGAAATCAGAGAGAGAACAAATAGTTACCAAAAATAGCATGTGCCCTGTAAAATATACCTCTATTCTTTTTACAAATTTAGGCCACAAAAGTGGTTTTCTTTTCTTTTTTTCTCGTATTATTGCAGCTGCTACAATAAAATGGAACTTGAATAAAAGAGCTGTGAGGTGAATAATTATTTGCTTCTATTGCAGTTCATTAGAGCTGATTTCAATTTTTTCGTTCCAAATAATATTACAAAATTCATATATCTTCAGTCCTTTTTTTCCTTGATGAAATTTCCTTCCTCTAACACTGGGAATTGAAGGCTTTCTTCTATACAATTCATTTATTTCCCTAGACAGTTCATTATAGGAGTCAGGTAGAATTTTTGACTCAAGTAGATATGAAATTGGTATTACAGGATTCCTGTTCCCACAAGGCTTTCTATTTTTGCCACTGCTCTTTTCTCTCAAAATCCTTTCTTTTCCATTCCACCCCTATATTTATTGATAAGGACCATCTTATATTGAAATACTTATTTTAAAAATATCTCTTCCTCCCTGCCTCCCTCTTTCTTTCTTTCTTTCTCTCATCACAGTTTTAATTCTTCTCTGGTGCAACAGAGATCTGCCCTAGTCTGCTTCTTGCCTTACCTGGGTTCTCTGAGCATCAAAACCAGACCAAGCAACAATCAAATGTCAACTTTTCTTTTGTCATTCCCAGAACCAGGATATAAAAGTCCTTCTTTGGAGGTCACTGATTTGCTGGTGCATATCAGTATGAAGGCAGAGAGGTTAAATCTGTTTTCCTTCCTGATAATAGTTTATAATATCAGAAGTGAATCACTAAGAAGAGTTGCAAGACTGTTTTTAATATTCCATTGGTCTGGGCACCTGACAGAGCATTGAAAATCAAGGTAGTCTGTTATTTTCAGGCCCAGCTAGTTGTCTCCTATTTATATCATCATCATCTTCCTCCTCCTCCTCCTCCTCCTCCTCCTCCTCCTCCTCCTCCTCTCAGAGTTTTACAATCTAAGCAAGATGTCTGACTTGAAAGGGAAGTACAGAAATGTTTATACTGGAGTTTTTTCAGTACTTGATTGAATTGGGTTCCCTGGGGCCTTCATATTGCAGTTTTAGACCCTGTTCCATCCAGAATAAAGTCATGTGTATAATTCCATAATTACCGTCAAAGGTGGTATTCAGACAGTTCGTACCAGTTTGGGCGAACTGGTAGCAGAGATCGCGGGTGGGCCTGCCCACCCGCCCTGGCTCTATACTGTCCTATTTAGACATAATTTTGAGGCCGGGTGCATGCCAGTTCACACATGTGTGAACCGGTAGCAACAAAATGTGAAACCGCTGATTATCATGATGGTCAAGTCATCTCAATGGCAAACTTCTCAATGGCGAACATCACTTACTACCTCCTCCTCCTCTCAGAGTTTTACAATCTAAGCAAGATGTCTGACTGAAAGGGAAGTACAGAAATGTTTATACTGGAGTTTTTTCAGTACTTGATTGAATTGGGTTCCCTGGGGCCTTC